CACCATCGCAATCTCAATCTCAAAGCAGCGTTCCCAATGTCAAAATCAACACTCGCAATCCGCACTTTCAGCTCGATTCTCCAATTCCTAAACCTATCGCCGCAATCTCCAGTCTCCCTTCAACATTTCAACTCCCGCGTTCCTCGTCGTTCATTTCCTCCTGTAAACCGATAAAATGTAAAAATTGAAAGTAGACTCACGTAGAAGGAGAGCTCGACGCGATGCGAGTGCTTCGGCACGCAGGTCAGCGCTTCCGATCTGCAGCATCCGGTGTCGTCCGAGCACCTGTGCAGGATCGCGCAGTGTGGAATGTAGGTGGTCGAAGGGCTCGGGTAGACGTCGCGGACCGGGATCACCCTCGGCCGTGGCACCTGGCAGCTGCCCTCCCGCGACACTTTGATCGCGTGCTGAAGAGCCTCTCGGATTTCCGCAGCTGAAACAACACCGGGAACCACTCGTTTAATCGCTCCGTCGTCGGTAAACAAGCCAAAGAAAACGTGCCATCCGGTTTTTACGATACGCCACTAAATCTCGGCCCTCCGCAGGAAGTCTTAAATCGAACGGGAACCATTCACTTCGCTCCGATCAATTAATAGACGCCGAACGTGTATACAAACGCGGAGATTTATGGATTCAATTAACCCTTTACGGAGAAATCTCGACACTCCGCCGAGAACTTTCACGTTTGTGGTATTAAGTAGCGAATGAATGATCCAATTATTCAAACGACGAGAAACCAGTATATAATAAACCTTAGTTTATATTACTCGACACTAGAACTATCAGTCGAAATGACTGGTTTTGATCTATTTGAATTTTTGTTCATAATTATAACAAAATCTATGTAGTGCAAAATTAATAATCCACATATGAATACGAATTAACAATATATTCAATAGTTCCAATAATTTCATCAAAGGAATATATCTCGTAACTTTTAAGTTACAATGACAAACTTTCACGCCTGAGCGTACAAACGTTGCAGTTAACCGATTTCATTTTATTCACCACTTTGAGTGCAGAACGAAATAAATCAACAAGATGCCACATACTGACACGTGACTTCAAAGTTACACGAGCCTACAGAGGGTTAATTCCTCATCGATTTACCTAAGTTTCAAGCGAAAATTAAGAACACCGTACCGATTCACCTGCATTTTACAGAGACTCGAGTTAAAATTAAGAGTGAAAGGTATCTTATCAGTAAGAGTGAGAGCGTACAAAACTTCAAGTCAACCGATTACTTAATTTTATTCACCACCTTGAGTGCAGAATGAAAATCAACAAGATGCCACATACTGACACGTGACTTCAAAGTTACACGGGCCTACAGAGGGACTTCAATATTTCTATAACGTTCGGAACATAGAAAAGGTCAAGTCAGCAGTGGCATTGCTTCTCCGAGGCAGTAGTCGTTCGAACGAGCGACGTCGAACAAGAGCGACGAGTTAACTCGTCTCCGACGCGTGACAGGTTAATGGCCCGGTCGCGCGTATAATAAAGCCGAGGCGTTTCTCGCGTCGAGATAGCTTCGCCCGAGGTCGGCAGGGAATATCTGGGTCGAAGATCGGATCGGGGCATCTCGAAAATTCGTTCGGCCGGCATTCCGACCCACGGATCAGCGGGCCGCGTGCCCGCGGTGACATAAGCGGCGCGGGAGAGCTTTCTATTGATTCAGCGCGCGGATACCTAATCGCTTTCTACGCGTTTCACGGGCCGTCGATAATTATGCCGCGGCTATCGCCGCCGATTGCAATTTGTATGGACGGGCTCGCGGGAGAAACTACAATGTACCCGGGAAATCAATAAATCCTGCGTACCCGCTTCAAATGCCAGCCGGGAATCCTTTCCTGCCTCGATATTAAGATATAAAGCCGCCGCTAATCGGGGTAATAAATAACCGCCGCGTCCCGCCGACAAGACTGTTACGTCGTTACGCTAGGTTCCCGCGTTTCGACCGAGATTCACGGGATCCTCAGCAACTATTCTATGGAAACTGCGAGAAGTATACGTCGGACACGCCTCGACGATTACAAATTGCAGATTTACAGGCTGCCGGATGATTAGGATTGATTTAGAGCGGCTCGATGGCGATAAGGAAGTTGTAGCAGTGCTGCGAAGCGCGAGTCTTCGAGGCTTAAGCTTAAAAGCTGAGTCGATGAAGCTCGAGTTTCCGAAGCTTCAGGGCTTAATGTGAAAGGCTGAAGCTTGGGAAAGTCGCTTTGAAGCTGTGGAAGCTTACATCGAGCGTTGAGCGTCTTACGCTCGAATCTTCCTCGGCGGCTGAACCGATCCCGTGGCTACGTTCACGCTCGTTTTCCGCGTTTCGACCGAGATTCGCGGGATACTTAGCAACTATTCTATGGAAACTGCGAGAAGCTTACTTCGGACACGCCCCGACGATTACAAATTGCAGATTTACAGGCCGCCGGATGATTAGGATTGATTTAGAGCGGCTCGGTAGCGATAAGGAAGTTGTAGTGTTGCGAAGCGCGAGTTTTCGAGGCCTTAAGCTTAAAAGCTGAGTCTTCGGAGCTTGGAGTTCGATGAAGCTCGAGTTTCCGAAGCTTCCGGGCTTAGTGCGAAAGGCTGAAGCTTGGGGAAGTCCGCTTTGAAGCTGTGGAAGCGTACATCGAGCGTTGAGGCGGCCGAACCGATTCCGTGGCCACGTTCACGCGAGCGTTCGGCATGGGATAACGTAACTCGGACAGTTTCCAAGGGGTTAATCGCGCGAAGTTCGACCCGAGACGGTTCAAACGGTAACGTCGCTGGTTATTAAAAATTATTGCGGACGATCAGCGAACCCGGACGTCGCCGCAGGCGTTCGTGGACTCGTTTCGACCACTCTTCGTCCATTAAACGATCGTTTGTCAATTTGCGGTCTCCCGCCCGTTGAAAATGAAACGGAATGCAAAGCCGCGTTAGCGGCGAGGGACGGCCGGGGCGGGGGAAGGAGATTGGTAGCACTCGACTCGCGAGATTAAGAACCGGCCGGGCTTCTGGCGCGTTTCAGCGGGTAAAAACTCTCGATCTCTTAACGAGGGAACGTCTGTCGGTGATTCGGGGAAACGCGTTCATCCTCTCGAGGCCTCGACCCCTTGCCGGACGTTTCGGACGATGGAACGATTATTCTTTCTCCTTCTCGGACGCGGAACGGGGAACGAGGGGTCTTCTTCTTGTTGCTGGAATTCGGGGGAGAAATGGACAGTGTTCCTTTGTTTTTTCGAACGCGAGGGCAGGAACGGAAATCTGCTTGTTCTTTCGGCGTGAACTGAGGAACGACAAGTGTTTTCTGTCTTCTGACATGCGACAAAGGAGATAAGAGTGTTTTTCCTTGTTTGTCGAATTGAAGGATGAAATGAAAACTGTTTTCTTTCGTTCGCGAAGGCGAAGGAAAATTAGAAGCTGTGTTCTGTATTGAATATGAAAGAAGAAAGGAAAATCTTTTCTGTTGCTTCTCGAATTCGAAGGAAGCAATGGAAACTTCCTTTATTCTCGAACACGAAGAACATGCGAAAACCTATATTCTATTCCGAATGCAAAAGAAGAAACGGAAATCTCTCTTCTTTTTCTTAGACGCGAACGAAGGAACGATTCGTCTTCTTCTTCCTTCTGACATTCGAAAGAAGAAGCAATAATCATTTCTCTAGCTTCCACAGTGGAAAGGAGAAACAGAAGTTCTCTTTCTCCTCGAAAGCGAAAGAAGAAACGAAAATCTGTCTCCTTCCTCTAAAACGCGAACGAAGGAACGATTCCTCATCTTCCTCCTATAAAGCGAAAGAAGAAACAATAATCATTTCTCTCGCTTCCCAAGTGTTTTCTCTTCCTCCCCGAGAGCAAAAGAAGAAACGGAAACGATTCGGGGAACCGGAGAGGTCGCAGATGGAACGATTCTAATTGCCGCTCGCCAGGGGCGTCGCGTGGCACGGAAGCGCGAGGCGAGCGATCCGAGCGGAGATCGTTTCGGAAACGTCCCTCGGCGTAGAATTATTTTCTCGTTTAATCTCCGCCGGTGATCTGGCTATGCTAATTCCCGACGTAGGCGTTACTCTCGCCACGGCACCACTGACACGAGATCATATCGGCCCTCCGTTCACAATGGAGGCACGACCGTCAGGGATCCTGAAGTATGCGCGCCTTTGCCCGCGACGAACATCCCGTATTCAAACGTATTCCAGCATGTATTAGAAGAGAAAGGGATTAGATCCGATCGTCCGTTTGTTTTTCCAAACGGCCGGATCGATTTTCTTCCATTTGCCGATACGTTCCCAATGAAACTGTCCGCCTTTGCTTCGATTTACTCGCTTGGTCCGCCGTATGTTTCGTTCTAGCGACACGAACTTTGGATTCTTTGAATTTTCTATTGATAATATACGATCGTAGCTTTTATAAGAAAATTGGAAACAACATTCTACTGATAATTCGTGAAAGATAAAATATACCGTATCATTCTATAATATTCTTCTACTCCACTTTCTAATATAAAATTTACTCTTAATCGTTGCACGATCTTCGAGTAATATTTCAATACTTTCGAAATGATCAAAATATATTAAAGAATATAATAATATAAATAGAAACATGTACAAAATAATCTATAACAACGATATTACCATGTCATCCTATAAGTAATATTCTTTTACTCTACTTTCTAATATAAAAGTTACTCTTAATCGTTACACGATCTTCGATTAACATTTCAACACCTTCGAAATGATTAAAATATATTAAAGAATAGAATGATACAAATAGAAAGATACAAAATAAAATATAACGATATTACTCACAGGACGACCTAATATAAAAGTTGATTCCAAAGTGAAAGACTATAAAACTTCGTTCCAAGCGCCATTTCCACGCGCGCTATCGAAAACGTATTAGCCACCGTGTCCGTGCATAGTCTACCGTTTCTACTTCTCGCGGAGATAATACTAATCCTACGGCAGCAGCCATCAAGTTCAACGTTCCGCGATCGAAGCCTCGACCGAGAACATTTCGCTGCTTCCATCCGACTCGTTTCAATAAAATCCAACGAGAATCGTCCGCAGGAGGAACCGAATTATCCATCGGCGGAATAATTCGACCGCGTCGCGGCAAATCAAATCGTTCGAATCGTTCGAACGAGTCGAGGCGAATCGAACAACTCTCGCGGGTCGCACACGTGCGCGTACGTGTCCCGTGTGGGACACGGGAGTTCGTACACGGGAGGGCGAGATATCGGTGTTGCTGCAATAGTGGCGGCTACGGCGCAATCGTCGTCGTTAATTTGCATATTAATAGGCGGCTCCGGCATTCCGCTCTCCGCTCCGTTAACCAGTTAACCGCGAGTACGACCGTCATCTTGGAACCCGAAATAATACTAATCTTCGGGGTAATTGGTTGTTTACTTTAGCCGGATGAACGCGTAGCCCTTTCTTTCTAGTTTAGCTTCTCGTGACGTTGATAGGTGAAAGGACGGAGTTTACGCGTTTGGGAGGAAATGTGATGTTCAATTGTAATTCTTTCTTTGTTAGAGGAATTTGTATAGGGATTCGTCTAATTATCAGAGTTCTCGCTTTAGATTTTGTTACTCTTGTTACTAAATATTTCCATGATATAGAATTCTAACTGTTTTCCTTATTATAATAGGAATTTGCCTAAAGATCCGTGTGTTAATTACAATTCTCGCTTTAGATTCAGTTACTCTTGTTACTAAATATTTACATAACATTCAATTGTAATTATTTCCTTGTTAAATGAGGAATTTGTATAAAGATACGTCTAATTATCATAGTTCTCACTTTAAATTCAGTTATTCGTGTTACTAAATATTTACATGATATTCAATTGTAACTGTTTTCCTTATTATATTAGAAATTTGTATAAAGATCCGTCTAATTATCCCAGTTCTCACTTCAGCTCTAGTTACTCTTGTCACTAACTATTTACAAAGTATCCAATTACAACAATTTTCCTTATTATACTAGGAATTCCTATAAAGACCCATGTGTGTATCACATTTCTCTAGTTACTCTTGTTACTAAATATTTTCCTTTGATATCAATCTCCTTATCGCAACTATTCCCAGTCGATCCAGGAGCGCCAGATCGATTACGGCGCAGCAGTGAACGCTTTAACGATCGCTCGACGAGAAAGAGTGCAGAAGACATTTCAATCGCGCGTTTTACGACGCCACTGGATCGTTCCTCGGGTTATCGATACGAACAAACCTCCATTTACGAACCAGCCCGGGAAAAGTTCACTGGCACAGATACAAAAGAATTCGCGCGGTGATACGAGTCGCGAGTCCTCAAACTTGATCTCCACCCGGTGTGTCGGGTTTACGTACACCGTATTTCAGACTATTAATTTCTAGCGGAACGTGGCTAACGACCGGCCTCGATAATTACACGATATTTTACGTTCAAGAAATAATTGGGTATGGTGGTATCGCGGGTTGACGGAGTCTGGGAGCGACGCCGGGACCACCGTCGTCGATATAATGGCGATCAATAACAATATCGGTGGGGGACGCCGTATCTGCATAAATCGATAGTTCGATCTTCAGCCTCGAACGCGATCTCCGTCGCGAATTGCCTTTAGTAACGAAGATTTATAAGAAGACCTCCTAAAATGATTTATCTTCGCAATTATATCACTCGATTAAATTTCCTTTTTACTTTCACCTTTCGTCGCAGTTACCTATTTCACGCGAAAATGAGAATTCCTCTATGGAATTTTTTTTCGCGATTATAACAAAATCTATGCAGTACGATATTAATAAATATATTGAATACGAATTAACAATGCATTCGATAATTTCAATAATTTCAAACGAATATATTCTGTGACTTTCAAGTTGTAAGGACATTGAACTTTCTCGCCTGAGCGTATGAAAGTTTAAGTTGATCGCTTAATTTTATACACCACTTCGAGTGCAAAATGAAAATCAATAAGACACCGATATACTGATATACGACACAGTTACATGAGCTATATTGATTTCTTGTAGCTTCACTAGTCAAATCATCGTTTACAACTTACTGTTTCAAACAGGAGATCTCAGAAGAATGTCGACTTCAAAGGATTAATTCAAAGATTTCCAAACGAAGTTTGTGTTGACAACGAAAAATATATAAAAATTGTCATCGTTTAAAATAAACGTCTACAAAATTCATAAGTGGGATTGAAAAAAAATTGTCATCGTTTAAATATATAAAAATTGTCATCGTTTAAAATAAACGTCTACAAAATTCATAAGTGGGATTGAAAAAAAATTGTCATCGTTTAAATATATAAAAATTGTCATCGTTTAAAACAAACGTCTATACGAGTTAAAATTAAGAGTGAAAGGTACCTCAGCAGTTCACCTAGATTCTACGGAAAAATCTCGACCTTGAACGGTTAGGCTGAGAAGTGCCGAGAAATTTCCGCGAAATATAAAACTAGGGCATTGCCACCTTTCCCATTGCGTCCGAGCCGAGGGAACAACTTACTCTTCCCGTTCTTGTTGTACTGCTGCATGTTGCCTCTGGTTTCTTTGACGCTTTCTCGAGTGCCCAGGGACTGCCACTTGTGGACGCTGTGCGCCGACATCGGCGGGTAATCGTTTTTACCCTGGTACCCGTTGTACTGCGTCCCGGTCCCGCTCTCGTACCCCCTGGGATCCCTGTAGTCGTAGTTCTGGGTAGGTGGCGGTCTAGGTGTCGTGGTGGTCGTGGTGGTCGTGGTGGTGGACGTGGTGGTGGTCGTCGTCGTGGAGGAAGGGAACGCGGCCGGAGTCTCGCCCTCGTCCTCGTCTTCGGTGTAGTCCTGTATCACACAACAAAACGCCGTTGAATTACGTCGTCTCTCTCGAGCCGCCATTACAACGCGATGTACAACGCGACGCGGCTGTTAAACTCGCGGAACAAAGAACTGCGGGGAACAACGCGGAAGAAGAGAGAAAGAAACTGAGGAAAAGAAGAATTTTCATGTTACATGTATGAGATGAATAGTCGATTATTTCTTTGGTAAGAGGCAATTGATTATTCGTCTTATAGATGTAATATGGAGGAGATTGAAAGAAACTGAAGGAAAAGTAGTATTTTCATGTTACATTTATAAGACGAAGAATCAATTACCTATTGTCAAAGAAATAATCGAATGTATCAACTGCAATTTCAACTGACTTCTGTTTCGATTGCTAAGGAAAGCTACACTGAAATACATCATTTGAGATTCTAATTAATTATGGTTTATAAAGAGATTTGAGACAGAAACAGAAATACAGAAACCAACGTGACCAATTCAAAATAGGAACAAGGGACAACCTTAACACTAGAACTACCGTACCAATCAAAACGACTGGTTTCGATTTTTTTGTTTAGCAATTATTGATATCTTCGAAGCATTGAATATTCGAAATGATTTTGAAAATAAATTGTTTCAGTACTATAATGAATGTCTGAAGAAACTGAAAATAATCTATCGTTACAATTTCTATGGGAATTGCACATTAATCGTATTAAATGCTCGGTAGTTCTAGTGTCAAAGATAAAATCTTGTCAAGTTCCTGAAAAATTCTAAACTACTGAAAAAAATAGCATAATACACACAGTTGCTAATAATCAATATGTTGCTTAAGATATATACATAAAAGAACAACAAGTAATATTTTCCATTCCTTAATTCCCGAGTCACGCTCGAAGAACTCCGTTCAATAGACCTCCCCGAGCCGGTGAAACTCCGAGCGGAAGTTCGACGCGCGCGTCGATACGCGACAAGCGAGCAACAAGCAACCCGCTGAGCGATTAGCGACCGGGTGGACGAGTAGCGCATAAATTTACTCCCGTTTCCTTTTTTTTAATCTGCCAGCGAGTTTTTTTGCCGCTCGTGGGTGGGCTGCGCGAGAGATTTCCCCGGCGAGATAAACGTTAATAAGCGAATTTGCATCTCACCGCAACGCACCTTCCCAGACGAGCCGCTCTGAGAGAGAATGGGGGATCTACTTAATGGCCGTACGCAACATCTGGGCCCTTTGATCTCGAGCCGCTTAATAGAAACAATCCGGGGGATACGTCTACGCGGGTACGCGAGTCGAATCCGAGAAGAATCACCGCGGGCTTCGATTCCGTTCTCCTCGAGTCGCGCGGCCGGTCGCGGACGGACGCTCGAAACTCGCGACCTATCGCTGATTTTTGCATCGTATGCCCTTCGTTCAGAGCTGATTCTCGCTGGAAGTCAACTGAACGATCGGATCAGTGATAGATTGGAAATTGGTTAGTCGATTTTTGGATATTTCCTTCGATTCGCGCGGCTGTTCGCGGACGAACACTCGAAACTCGCGACCGATCGCTGATTTTTGTATTGTACGCCCTTCGTTCAGAGCTGATTCAGGTTGGAAGTCGACTGAACGATCGGATCAGTGAAAGATTGGAAATAATCGGATTCTGTTAATATATGAGTCGCTTAGAAGCCAGTGGTTAGTCGATTTTTGCGGGTTTAATGGAATAAATAATATTCTTTTTGGTTGTTCAAGGATTTAGTCGGTTCTATGTGTTTTATAGATGAGAATGTCCGTTTTGTAGTTTCTGAATATATTGTATAATCCTCTTAGAAGCCGAAATATTAATTTTTTCAATGTGGACTGACGACGTTGGGTTCTGAGCGACTCATGTACCTGATTCAGGTTTTTTCATTGGTTCGAAGAGAGAATGTTTGATGAAGAGATTGTATTACGATAATTATCGATAAGACGACAATTTTGTATAGCAGATGTATAATTGCCACAATGAAATTGAGCTTTTCACTTTGCAGAAGGTATTAAATATTCAATAATACATAATACTAAAATATCAGATTACTAATTGCCCGAAAGAAGCGTAAGATTTCCTTATCGATCATTTCTCAGGAGAACCTTGTATCTCCATTATTTATAAACAATTTCCGTCACGTTTCCCCGTAAGCCCTCACGCGCGTTCGGCTGCAGAGACGCCCTTACCGATTGCATCGCGAGAAAAACGTCTGCAGACGCAACTCGCTCCGAAAATGCCTGGAGGATCTGATTTTTACGCCCACAATTCGGCGCCCACCGTATAAATCTCTCGACCAATCTCGTTCTCGGTTGTCGCGGGGTTAATTCCTATCGCGATGCATCTGCGAATCGCGCTGCGGAGCGCGGTGCATCGTTCGAATGTAAATATACACCGTGTAGGATAGCAAATCAGCTTCTAGCTTCGCTCAGAGAGGTTCAAAGGCAACTTTCACTTCGTTAAGTTAAACACTCGCGCGAATTAATATAATATCGAGTTCCCCGGCGAACGAATGCATTATCGTTCTAAAGTGTTCTATCCTTGGTTCGACGATAGACGTTAACGTTAATAAATTTCGCACGGCCAGAGAAGGGGCAGAGGCGCAATCGCGATACAATGGGTCGCGGAGTCGTTTATTTCCTTTTCCTCTGTAAACCACGAACGCCGAATGCCGTAAAACATTTTTCAACCGCCGCTCGAGTGTATATGGTGTCTCGAAAATATATATCATGAAAAAGGAAGTAACTATTCGAAACATTCTGTTGGTCTTGAGAAAGAGTTCAAATTTATCACTGTATCATATTCTTAATTGCGAAGGTAAATATACCACGCTTTGGAAAGCTTCCTTGCAAATTACTTAAGTTCTCTGAAGTTCCCGTTTTTTAACCTTTGCACTCGTGAGACTGTCAGTCGCCACTTGATTTGATACAGCAAAACTATGAGGTTGAATATTAAGTATTTCAAATGAAACTTTGTATTGCTATGAGAAATAATAAGTAAGATAGCTTCGTTGCTTAATTTAGCTAGGAATCATCATGAATAATCATCACTTGATTTGACACAGCAAACCTATAAAATTGAATATTTTGTATTCTAAATCAAACTTTGTATTGCTATGTGAAATATTTAAATAAAATAGCTCTGTCGCTTAATTTACCTGTGAATTATCGTTAAATTAGTTTCAAACAATGTCTGTATCGTCGAAGAATATTGAAAATTTCCAGTGAAAAGTTTTCGAGTGCAAAGGGTTAACACTGAAACTACCGAACAGGTCAAGTCGACCTACTTTACAATCTCTATTCAAGTATTTCAATTCTGAAGGCGTTCGCGATTGTCAATGAAATCTATATTTGCACACACAAGACTATATCCTTCGAATTCCAAGAAACGTGCTCTAATTTCGTAAAAAATTGGAAAGTCTGGTCGGTAGTTCTAGCGTCAAAGGTCAGAGTGAATCTTACGATTACTTATATCAAAAGGAAGTTGCGTTGTATGTTTATTAAGTGGAATAGTTTCACGTTAGTTTACGTTAGCTAATGAAATCACAATATCCAATCGATCGCGACGTATACCTCTGAAACACCCTGTGCATGGGTGCCCACGATGCGCGCTCGCGCTCGCAGCGCAGCGTTCCGTACCGTGGGCGTTATTATTACCGGCGGCATTTTTGACAGAGCGCGCCGAATCGTTGCGCGTTGCCGGCTCGCGGTAATTGAATAGAAACGAGTTCGCGGTCGATCGCGAAAGAAACGACCATCTGTTCTCCCTTATCTCTTCCCGGCCGGATACGATCTGATAGGGCCCGCCGTTATCCCGCGGGGTAGCGCGGAGGAATAATTCACGGGCGAACAGAGGAAAGGCGGCTCGAATTAACTTGTCGAACGCGCACAATAACGGCCAATTACTCGAAATGTGATGTATCGGTCGTTGCGCAACGGCCTCTCGCGGCGTTGTTTATCTTCCCGCTCGCGATCGAACGCGGCAAATGAATTTACACGTGCGTCGGGGAAAGATTGATTCCAACGAGCCCAACACCTCCCCGGAGCTTTCAATTACGCGCGAACAACTCGCGCGAGCCCGGATCTACGATCCCATCGCTTCGAACGGTGTTTCTGCAATTCCTACCGTCGAGTCTGTTATACATCTTTTCCTCGTTAGTTTCACGCGGCGGTGAAATGTATATATAGTGTTGCTGTATTATAGATAATGAAAAGGTGGATCTTGAGCAATCGAGAACTAGGGATATATATGTATTTAACTCTAAGAACCAAATAGATTCAAATGACGCATCACTGACTTCCAATCGAAACGTAGATTCTAAGTAAATGAATGTCAAAGTGCAAAGGAAAGTACAAATCAATCTTAATTCTCTGTAGGCAGAATTTTTATTCATGATTGTAACAAAATCTATGCAGTAAAAAATTAATGAATGTCCACATATGAATGCGAATTAATAAAATATTCGATAGTTTCAATAATTCCATCAAACGAATATATTTTGTAACTTTCAAGTTAGAATGACAAACTTTCACGCCTGAGCGTATGAAAGTTGAAGTTAACCGATTACTTAATTTTATTCACCACTTCGAGTGCGAAATGAAAGAAATCAACGAGATGCCAATATACTGATATGTGACTCGAAAGTTACATGGGTCTATAGAGGGTTAATATCTTAAAAGCATTCGATAATCCAAATGATCTTGAAAATAAATAGTTTCATTTGAATACTATAACGAATGTCTAAGAACTGACAATAATCCATTGTTACAATTTTTATATGGATTACATATTCATCGTATTAACTGCTCGATAGTTCTAATGTTAAGAATTCGATGACTTGGCAGAGTCACAGAAGGTTTCGTACGCTTTAGAGAATCTTCGTCTGCAAAGGGTTGAAGCTCCCATCGAACACAAGGGGAGCGATCTCAACATTTCACTGTTACGCACGCGTACACGCTCCGATCGAAGTCTTCCTCTAATTTTAGCTTTCAGATCACTCTAATCGAATTCTAGAATTCT